CAGCAGGAAACATCACCCTAACTTGAACCTTTGGTGCTGCTAAAATGTTGAAGATGGTTGATCCTGGTGCTCAAGTAGCTCCCACAGTAACCCGTGTCCATCCTGAGACCTCCTCTTTCCTGGTTATCTTGGTGTCACCTGAACACTCTCCTGGTTCTTATGCTGTTTTCCTAGAGCAGGCCCAGAGACAAGGCTTGATAAAGTGCTCAGAGGGCAGCTTGAGCTGCCGAGGCAAGATTGATAAAAACCCTGAACTTTACTTTTTCTTCATGAGGATGTGATTCAGGTGTGGGTTATGCAGCTGTCCTTGCCCTCCCCTCCCAGCAGAGCTGGGATCCGTTGGGTCCTCTGTTAGAGAAAAGCCCGGGAATCCGACCTGGATCCCAGGCCTTGGCGAAGGTCATGAGCCAGCTCTTGTCTCTCCCTAAGCAAATTCAAGAACTTTCAAAATCTCCTTGAGACTGAAGCAGCTGGCTGCAGCCAGCCAGTGCAGCATGCAGAGGGGCAGGGGTTCCATGCACCGTGGTGGGGTTCATGGGAGCAACGTCAGCACAGGACCCTCCCTGCTGTGCAGGGCAGGGCAGACCTGGCCTGTCCCAGTCACGGGGCAGTCGTGACGTGGCGGCACCAGTCCCACGGTGCCTGTACAGATGCGTCCCAGATGTGGAGCTGGGAGCACAGCATGCGGACAGCGAGCGGCAGATGGAGCTGCTGCTCCGCGATGTGGTGCCGGCGTGGCTGCTTGGCGTGGAGTGGAGAGCCGCAGGGACGGAGGAAGTTGGCTGGGAAGCACCCGCAAGCAGCAGGGATGGAGGAAGGACTCGCCGCATGCCGGTACCCAGCCAGGGCTTGGCCTTCCTGCCCACACCTTGTCCTCCAGCCCCAGCTTGTGGAGGTTCTGCTGGGCTGTTACCAGGGCTTTTATGGTCGCAGTTGCAGAGAGCGTGACCTGTCCCGTGGGTTGCAGGGTGATCTCTGCAGCCTCTCCTGCTTCCTGGCGAGCGGGAAGTGCTCGGGAGCAAGCCTGGGCATGTCTCGGTGGCCAATTTTGTGCTTACAAAGAGCCCCGACTTGCCCTGCTTCCTGCAACTCTGCTGGGCTGCGTGCTCTGACTCCTTGCGCTGATTCATATCACTTATTTATTCCGTTCCCCTCCGAGAATAACCTTAACTGCGCGCTCTGCTCCTTGCTCTTCCTGGTTGCTTGTTTAGATCAGCCCCGCGGAGGATGCTGCCAAACACCGACTCCTCTGTGGGTCTGGCGCTGAGCAAAGGCACGCTGGGGTGAATGCAGCTGAGCTGCTGTGACCCCACGCTTACAAGAGAGCTGCAAAGATACCCAGCACGAGAAGGAGGGAAAGTTAGAGAGAAACAAAATGCAGGTTGTTTTTTCCTAGTGAATCAATTTAAAGGGTCTTTTCTCAGTGCGGGATGTGAATTTACAAAACTCTGCTTACACAGGAAACCCCTAGAACTTACGTTTCTTAATGTCCTCAGCAAACGTGGTTGGATTTAGCTACAGGGGTTTACTGAAAGCTGCTACACAAATAAATAACGGTACAAAATTAGCAGCAGATCAACAAGCTGTGCTAAAGTCAGCAGCAAGGAGAGGAAAAGCCCTGGCAGTCCTGAAGAGGCTGGCCGGCTTGTGGCTGCGGGAGGAAGATTCAGCTGCTCAGGAGTTTGCTTTGCAGAAGTGCCTAACCAAAGGGTGGGCAAAAGACACACATTTTCCTATTTTCTTTGGCAGGGAAGGGAAGGTGGATAATGCTGTGTCTGGAGTTTCAGGAGTATTTTTCCCATGATTTTTGCCCACTGGTGTTTGGCACTCTACTTATTTCAGAGGTGACTGGAATTGGTTTGACTTCCCTCCCCCCCCGCTCAGCTGTTTCCTATGTGCTGTGCAGACCTCAGGCTGCCTTTACTGGAGGCAGAAGGGTGGTTACAGGTGGTGCTGTGTTCTTCCTCCATGCTTCTCCAGTCCGGACAGACCCTGAAGCCACCCCTGCCGAGCTGGGCTGGGAGCAAAGCATCGCGCTGGTGCTGCTGGTGGTGCTCTGCTCCATGCACAGCTGGTCAGTGCCTTTGCACCTGGAGAGTAGTGGTGTGTTGCTATGTTTGGTAACCTGGGATCGGGGCCGGCAGCAGCGCTTGGTGCTCCTGCTCTGCTCCCGGCAGCCGTGCTGCTCTCCCGGCTGTTCCCACAGCACTGCCGGTGCTAACCGCGTTGGCAAAGACAGCCGCGCAGCTGGGCAGGGCTGGGGCGAGATGCTACCGTAACGTTACCGGTAACGGAGTTTCCTCCCCTGCGGTGTCTCGGGGAAATATGCTGTGCTTTCCAAAGCCAGGTGTGGCTGCTGATGAGCTCTCCCAATGCACTTCCCTGGTACATGTTGTTCTGTGTTTTTCCTGCCGTCCTCCTGCAGGCGCTTGGCCCTGAGCCTAGCAGCCGGGACGCCAGCAGTGTGGCCGCCCCGCCGAGGGCCGTGCTGGCCACGGAGCCCGCGGCGGCGCGAGGAGTGTGGCCCCCCCGCCGAGGGCCGTGCTGGCCACGGAGCCTGTGTGAGGGCTCTCATACAGTGCCCGGCTGACGGCAAGGGCCAGTGGCCAAGGGCGGGTGCTTGGGGTACCCTCCCCAGGAGGGGGCCATGGGGACTCTGCTGTGACTGTTCTTCAGCGGTATCCCACCATGGGCTCAGCTGCTGTGCCGGGGTCAGGATGGGCCCATCACCTTGCCTTGTTCGGTGTACTGCAAGTCCCACAAGCGGCTCCCTGGCTCCAGCAAGCTCTGCTGTGATGGAGAGCACTTTGATCTGGGTAATGTTTTCTGCAAGAAAGTGTGGGAGGACGAAGCTCCAGACTGCTCACTGCCTCTGTCTCTGTGCCAGCCTCGCTGGGCGTCAAAGCAGCCCTTGTGCATCCCATGGAGCAGGTGGTCATTGCACCCGCTCAGGCTCCAGAGCCGCCTTTTCCTCTGAAGCACTTGACTTGGTTTAGGTTTAAAAAAAGCAAATGCTTCATCTTGTATGTTTAAGTGTGTAGTGCAGGGCTCCTTGCTCTTAAGCAGATGAAGTTTTAGTCGGAAAAAGGAGTGAAACCATAGAACCATTGAATAGTTTGGTTTGGAAGGGACCTATGGAGATCATGGGGTTGAGTTCCCTGCTGAAGGGTTAAGGAAGTGTCTCTAAACATCAAACAATGGGTATAGGGCCCCCTTTCCAAAATTCAAGTACTGCTGCAAAGTCGTGTCCTCGCTGGCCTTTGGTTCCTGCTGGGCTCTTCCTGCTTTCCCTGGCCTGAAGAAGGCGGCGCGACCTCAAGTCTCCACACTCAAGTTCCTGCACTCCCCCTTATCCGCACCAGGGTCGTGTCCCCCCATCGCTCTTAATTACCCTGAAAATCCCTCCTGTTATCTTGTGTCCTTCTGTGTGTGTAACGAGCATCAGGCTGCGTGACGGTTCCTGTTCATCAGACTTCAACCAAAATTCATTATAAGCTTGTAAAATTTCGGTACCTGAGAAGGTACATTGCAGTTGCTCCTGTTTCTGGCCCATAGCACGACCTGCGAGGGGGTGCCAGGGCCGGCGCTGGTGCAGGGACTCCAGCAGGGCTGAGGAGTACAGAGCATTGCTGGCTGAGCACGAGCAAGGCTCCACCACAAGCGGGCTGAGATCATCTAGAGAAAGATGCTCGGCTCTGCTGTAACTCCTGATGTTTGGATTTTTGTCAGCATGCTGTGGCCTGTCATCCCTTTCCCCCTCCAGCCCCGGCAGGACGTGCTGCAGAGCTTGCCTCCATGCCGGGCTGAGGTTCAGGAAATCCGGGCTGCGTCCCTGGCCCTGTCGCAGCCTGCCTCTGTAGCAGGGAGCAAGTCTTGGTCCTCAGGGTAAGTTGACGTGGTCTGGCTTGCCTCAAAACAGCAAGGATGCCAGAGCCTGGAGCGAACCGTCACCTCTTCTGATGGACTCCATATGGGAGACCAGATATGTGGTTGCATTAGGCAGTGGGAACAGACCAGAAGGGGAAAAAAAAACAACAAAAACATTGAACAGACTTGATTGTATGAGGGGATTTGAGTCTCTCTCAGCCTGTCTCACATTTATGAAATGGTCATAAAAATCCTTCCCTCCTTTCCCTGACCCCTTAGCTGGCTCTCGCGGCAGGGGTGTGTGCAGGGGCCAGGGCAGTCGGGCCCCTTTGTGCAGCTGTGGTGCCATCCAGCAGTATTTGTGCTTCAACAACCTTCCCTGGGCCCCGTGCTGGTGCAGGCTGAGCAAAGGCTGCCAGCGCTGGGCCAGCCCCCAGGGGCAGCGGCTGAGCGGCATTTCTCGTGTCTCTCCTAGGTAATAGTCCATGATGTGAACGAGCTGACAGAAAAGCTGTTTCCAATCGTCGAAGCCATGCAGAAACACTTCAGCGCTGGATCAGGGACCTACTACAGCGACTCGATCTTCTTCTTGTCGGTTGCAATGCATCGCATCATGCCCAAAGGTAAGCCCGCGCTGAGCTGCCGCAGCAGCCGCCTCCGGCAGCACAGGCTCTCTTTTTCTTCTGCACCAAGATGTTACCCATTGCTATTTGAAATGCAAAGAAAGTTACAAAACTTTTGGGGTCAGCTCTTGGGCTTCTGCTTCTTCCTGCAGTGATGGACCCTTTGGTCCAAGACCGCTCACATCCAGGTCCCTGCTGGTGGGGATGGCAGGAGGTTATCCATGCCATGTGCTAGCTGGCCCTGCCCTCGCACCCTGGGACGGTGGGAGAGGTGACACAGGAGCAAGCGTGCCTCTGTGTGTATGTGTCTACAGCCCCCTTCCCCGTGGGGTGTCAGCAGAAAGAGGTGCCTTGTGTTCATGGCACAGCTGCTTGGCTATGTGCTAGCAAACGTCGGCAGAGAGCAGTTGTCGAGCCTTTCCTCTTGGCTTCGGTGAGCTTTTGGAAAGCTTTGCTGATTAGCAGCCACTGATCACTTAAGTTTCCTTATTGTGCCTTTGCTCTGCTGTTATTGAGTGTGGGAATAACAATAAATCTGCAGGAAAACAAGGCAGCTGGCAAAGAGGGCTTGGCTCCGTTGATGCCATGTTTTCCTTCCCCGGCTGCACACGGGTGCTTCTCCCGGGACTGACGTGCTCTCTAGCCTTGGACTGGTCACACAAGGAGCGTATTGCATCCCTGGCTCCGAACCCCTTCCTCGGAGCTCCCCCAGCCCTGCCTGTCCCTTCCCAGTGTTGGTCCCTGGGCTCTCCCTGCTGGCTGCCCTGCTGGCCTGATGCACCGGTCAGCGCAACATCCTCTCCTGGGCCAGCCGCTGGCCGTGTGTCCTCCCTGTGCCACGGCAGGGTGTGGGTGGCCGTGGCGGCAGGGAGCCCCAGGGTCCTGCCTGACCATACACCTGCCCCAGGAGGAGAGGTGACCAACCTCTTGAAGGTGCTTGTGGATGGCACACGGTGGTGGCCTGTTCCCACATGTGTGTGTTGCTGAAATAGCTGTTCCCATGGCTAGCACCACTGGCACTGGCAGCTTCCTCAGCATCTGGAGCCTCTACCCAGCAGTAATATTCCTGCAGACTTCTTACCATGGATCTCAGGTGGTCTTGCTTTTGCTGGGACGTGCCTGGGTGTGACTGCCTTGTGCCCCTGCTGAGCCCGGTCCCAGTTTGGCTCTGCCGAGTAGCTCCTGCCTCTGCGCTGGCTTGTGAGGCTTCCTCTGGACATGCCCCTGTCTGGGGGCACAGCCGTCCCATGCTAGCTCACTAAGTGGTGGGGCAGTGGTGTTTAATTTGTGTAGGCAGGCATTAGGGAAGAGCAGGCAGGGAGGTGACCTGCTTAGTCACCCCTGGGGGCTGTGGGGCGAGGCAGCCCCGAGGGTCCCGTCCAACCCCCTGCCAATCATTACTCTGTGGGCTCCAGCAAATGTGCTGTACTTTGCTCTCCATTAGACTTGGGTAATTTTTTTGTGTCTGGTGATGTCTGCATTGCGAGTGCTTTGAAGTATGCTGAATACAAATGACGGTATTAATGCTGGCTAATTCACTCGTCGCGATTCCCTACCCTGTCTTTACCATGTGCTAAAGATATCCGTGTCGTGCCGCCTGCCAGCAAGAAGCTGCTCAGTCTGAAATGCCTTTTCTCAGTTCATCAACCTGCCGGTTGTCTCATCTCCTGGAAAGCTTGTTTACTCTCCCTCAGCCTGACGGGGTTTTCAATGGTCTGTTCAGGGCACAGGATGTTTAAAGAGACATTTTTACAGTTTCATGAGCTTAGTTTTTATTTCAGAAGCTGCTAGTAAAGCTGATTTATATTTCCCTTGCAAGGGAGGTCAGATTTACTGCGCTGGGTGCCTGGTGATTTATGGGGCTGGCGGGGCTCCCTGGCCCCTTCCCTGCTTCCCGACGCGCAGACGACGCCGAACCGGAGGCAGCAGGGAAGGCTGCAGCTCTGCTGCCTGCTTGCAGGTTTGCGGGTGGTGTGGGAATGGCACCGGGCTCCTGCCGCTCTCCTGGCTCTGACAAGCCAGCCACTCCTGGCGTGAAGAAGTCATTTGCTAAGGTGGAGGAGAGAGGACAAAGCTTCCTTGTCAGGCAGTATTAGCATTTCTCCTGGTGCATTTCCGTGCCGTTTCACTTGCCCTGAACGCTGCATCTTCTTGTGCACCTCTGCAGGCATATCTGGCTCCATAGTGTTAGCACCAGTTTTTTGTGGAAGCCAGATTTGACTGGAAGCTTAAGCATCCTCCAGCAGAAATGCAGGCTATGATCTGAATATTAAACTCACTTGTGTGTTTGTTTGCATATGTATTAATCGGTCTATAGGTTTTTTCCAATAGCTAACGACCTTTGCATTAAAGTTGCCTGGTTTTAGTTTCCCAAATTTATCATTTTTTGAAGGAAAGCATTTCCATAGTATCATGACATAGTAATTTGTTTGAAGCCTTGGGGTTGTGATGGAGCGCTGACTTTGCAGACTGATGGCACTCACCACTGAACACCAGGATTGGGTTTTGCTTTTTAAAAGAAGTCTTTGGTGGAACACGTGCTGGCTGCGTGCATATTGCACTGAAAATAAATGGGTTTTGCCACTCAGCTGTTCTGTTTTACACTGCTGCTTGGGATCCTTGCCCAAAAACCTGCAGCTGCCAAACTATAATGTAACAGCTTCTTAGCTGGTGTAAATCATGGAACTCTCTTGCCTTAAATGTCTTACATCAGCGGAGTTAATCTGATTTAAACCAGCTGGGGACGGGGTATGCAGCGTGCAGAAGTGCAGACTGCATAACTCTTGTCTGTGCTTCAGGCTCATAAATCCTGTTTTAATGCGGTGTGGCCAGCCCTGAGGAGCTGGAGGAGGGCTTGATGTATCGCAAGGGTTTTGCAAGGGAGAAGTGATGGGAAAGTTACACAGAGAGAGGACGAGCAGGATTCAGGCTTAGGAGGCACTGCCAGGATGAGGATGATGCCAGCATGAAATGGTCTTGGGACCTGCAGAGCAGTTCTAGGAGGGGAAGGGAGGACAAGGACTCAGGCCGGTTTACTTTCTTTCTCAGTATGCTTATCCAGAGATGGCCTCTCATTTCGCGACTGGCTTCGATCCCTCTAATTGCTTGTTGTTTTAGTCGTGTGATTTCAGAGGTCCCGGAAAGCTTTTTATCACCTTCCTTACAGATACATGGAGGAGCAATGTCTGGGCAGGTCTGCCGGCAGGCAAGATCACGGGACAGGCTCCTGGTGCCGTGGCGAGGGGAGGAGGAGATGGGATGGCAGAGGAGCAGCCAGGGGAAACTGTGGGCTCCCTAGGGAATTCTTGGCCCCTGTCCCTGGCCCACGTAAGGTGACTTTCAGGGGGAATTAATTTAGCAACTGAGTGTCCTCAGCAGCTGGTGGGTTGAGGGACAGATGTCAGCATCCAGCAGCTCGGTCAGAGCTTTGAAAACTGCAATTTGGTGTTTGACTCCATGGGTTTTGCTGACCTTGCTGCAGCAGGATGGCCCTGTGGGAGAAGAGAAGGAGCAGAGGGAAAATGGGACAGAACGGAGAAGCAGCTTTGTGGCTTATCTCTGCCAACTCAGACAGAGGAGTGGAGTCCTTTGGCTCAGGGAAGTCTCTGAAGCCTGGCTGGAGGTAATGTGCCTTGTGTGGAGCGAGGGTAGTTAGCAGAAGTTGACTGAAGATGGTACTTGACAAACTGGAGGCAGCAGGCTTTCCTGGCTGGTACGAACAGCTGGCAGTGTTCCTGAGGGGTGGTCCTCCTCCCTGCCTGGCAGCACATCGGGGGGCTCTTGGGGTTTCTCTCCCACTGACCGACCCAGCATGAAGGCAGAAGCCCTGACAAAGGGTGGGAGATGAGCACGGGGTGCAAAGGGCCCCGGGCTCTGCCATGCATGAGGTTAGCCCTCCTGCAGCATGCCACGTCTTCTAGGTGCTAGTGAAGCACTAACTCCTCAATCCTGGTACCTCTCAGGGTGGGCAGGGAGAGGAACGCAGCTCTGCTCCCCCAGAGCTGGCGGGATGCACCTGAGCAGAGCCACGGCTGGGATGTCTGCCTGGAGAGGTGGTGCCAGCGAGGATGGGCCCCTCGCTTCTGCTAGTGTGGCTCCATGTCTGCACAGGGGTGGTGGAGGGAAGAGTGCAGAGCAGGATGGGGTGTGACTGCAACGTTTAATTCCGCTAACAGGATCTCTTACAAACATACGTATAAAATTAGGCTTGGAGATCTCTGGGAAAGCAGCTCAACAGGATGGTCCCTCCTCCTGCCCAGCCTCTCTTCTGCTTTGATGCCTGCAGCATCCCAGAGGTGACCCATGCGCCCGCAGAAGACTCTCTGAGCAGGCAGCGAGAGCCATCAGAAAGTGTCTAGCTAACAGCCGGGGAGAGAGGGAAATGCTGTTCGGCTCACCCTCAGCCTGTTTTAAATACTTGGAAAGCATGGGACCAAGAAGGGGAAGAGAGCCAATTCCCTGTCTGGTTTATTCTGTTGTTAGGAACTGGGGTAAGAAAGTGGATGTGTTGGAAGACATTTGGGAGAAAATATTTAATGAGGAAATACTTGACATAGTTATCACTGTTGAAACTGGTGGGGTGAGATACAACTAAATTATTAAGACCAGTGGTTGCAGTGCTTATAAGAGACGATAGATAAGAGAAGTAGGAGCTGGGTAGCACTCTACCATGAAGACACAAATAGGGACTTGCTGACTGAACACTTAGGAGCTTGATCTCCAGGTGCGTTGGATAAGGTTATTCATCAAGGGCTCATAAGGGAGCCTAGCAGCAGGGGAGGAGTGGGTAAGTCTCTGTGTGGCTAAATAAAGACGAGGAGCTACAAGGAAGGAGAACAAAACAGACTGATTGTTATGCACTGCCAAAATTTGTGGTGTACCAACTGGATGTGTTGGGAAAAACATGGAAGAGATTCAGAGAAGAGCAGTGGCTTGTGTATGGGATGAACCTGGCTGACTTGGACCCTCCGGTCTGGGAGGGGGCTGTCCGTGAAGCCACC